TTATTTTTTGAGTAAGGATTGTTAACATAAATAGTTCATTATTGCCTTCTCTTATATATAGTTCCAAGAGCTTTTTGGCATCGAATCAGCTTTGATGTTTAGCATGTTCTTAACTATATTCAATACATTAGGAATTTATTTCTTTTCTTTTCAATGTTCGTGTGAGATCTAAAGCATAAAAGTGTTTCAGGTGATGAAAGACGAGTAATTGAAATAAATTAGGTTTATTGAAAAGGTTTCTATCTAATTAGTAAATTACATTCCATTTCTTCTTCTTTTATTGATCATTCTTTTACAAATCCCACCAAAATTCTAAATGAATGAAAATATTTAGAGATTGAATTTGGTTGATTTGTGTTCTTATAGAAGGCGAGAGGGATTGGTAGGTTTCATAGGTATAAAACCTGAATTAGAAGGTAAGTATAATAACCATAAGTAAATTATGTCAAGCGGTAACTTACATTTTAAATATATTATAATAAAAGATATGGATGGTGTTTAATATGAACGGTAAATTAACAATTGTAAAATAGCTTTGGATTTCTATTTTTTTTTTAAATGTTATATATTTGTTACCCATGAATGGAAGCACAAATGCATGGGAGTTTAATGATGCATTAGGGTTACTTATAGTGACATTGTGATCATTAATGGTGTTCAAAATATCCGATTAATAGAAAATAGCATAAAAGTTAGTCAAAAGACAAGTTAACATACATCCATCATCATTATCACCTCTTTGTATTAGGGATTTATCCTAAAAGCCCAGACAAAAAAAAAAAAAAGTTTAAAAGGAAGTTCATTCCACAATTATAACAATCTGTTATATAGAAGTGTGTATCCTTCACCACTAGAGTGGTTCTCCTATAAATATATTAGTGTTGGATACTCACATCCCTAATGATTTTATCATCATAAAAATAAACATAGATAGTTTATGTAGGGATTCAAAGACACAAAAAAAGAGAGGGAAAACATAACAACTTAGAACTCATCATACAAGATAAAGATGTTATGTAAGAAATTTTCTCCACCATATTTTGTTAGTCAGCCTAGATGTGGTACCATGACTTGGATTCTAAATCCATTATTGGCTTTAGAAATCTCTATAAGAAACTCATAACTCACTTTAGTGTGAATATCTTATCTAAGAAAGCGTTCACTAAACTATTTGTTATCACATAAAAAGATAAGAAATCCATAAAGGAATGTCTAAAATGATTTAACAAAAAAATGCTCAAACTAAAAGACGCATTTGAAATAATGGCTATAAAAGCCTTGATTAATGAGAAAAGTTATACACTTTTCTAGACAAAACCTTCATAAAAATCACATAAGTAATAAAAAAAAAACCTTGTTAGTATGAATAAAATGAGTGTTGTAAGATAAGAACACTCATACTTATAGAAATATAAGGATGAATGTGACCAATCTTCAATAAATCCTTATTCACTCTAGATATCTCAATCACATTGTATTCCTTAACTTGCTAAACACAATCACATTCAAGGTTACAAGTCATATCCTAAATGCACGCACGCATCTTGACCAACACCTACATTTCTAAGACATGAAAATAAAGAATTTATCTCATGCATGATATTCAAATCAAATAAAAATATAATATTAATAAAATATTTTTAACTTTTTTTTATAAATAAAAGCAATGATATCTTTATGATCAAGATTGCCTATATATATCATTGTCTATGAAAGTGTTCTTATAAAATTTGTATTTCTAAAAAAAACCTTTATATCTCCACACGAAATCTTCAATGTCTTCTAGAAGAATTTTCATGCGTCCATGTAAAATCTTTGTCTTTAGAAAAAATCTCTATATGGTTCTGTATCCCTAAAAAAAATATCTTTATGTATAAAATTATTGTTTTAAGATTAAAGCAACTATAATACCTAAAAGGGAGTGATTTAGGTGTATCACTAATATTAAAAAAATAATAAAAATTAATTTAAATAAACACAATAATCAATAATAAAATTAAAGTGCTTAAAATAAAAATATAATTGAGAAAATTTACAAGCTTGTTATTAGCATGGTTCTAGAAGCCCACATCCACATGTTAAGTATCAAATCATATTTCAGTATTGTATTCTTTTACTAGTTCAAGTTCAAGAGTATATTAGGTATTTATAAATTCATACCATATTTCAGTGCTATATTAGTTTAGCACAAATTATTTTCTGTTCTTTTTTATTATTTAAAGAAAAGTAATGTTTTTTTTAGCACATGGTTATCCCAAGGGATTGGACCGGTACTTAATAAATTCGAAAAGCCTTGCTGTCATCTTGCTAATAAAATCCAGCACCAATCATGTACTGCCATTACGTCCTCTTGTTGTGTTAAGAGGGAAGAAACAACGTGTACTCAGTTACTGAAAAGGCAGAAAGATCACTGTATGGGCAGTTGGGGATCCAAAGAATCCTAATTAGAAAAAACCTAAAAAAAAAAATCACAAGAAAATTCCCAGCCCATCCTATATCTCAGAAAGCCAGCATCCACACGCACATACAGAAAAAACCTCATGGCTATATCCCTTCTCCCCTTCCTTCATTGTCTCCTCTTCTTCCTCTTAACGCTCCCATCCCAATCATCATCATCATCAGACCATCCACGAACCTTCATCATCCACGTGTCAAGATCCCACAAGCCCTCCCTTTTCTCTTCTCACCATGATTGGTACACCTCCATCATTCATTCCCTCCCTCCTTCACCTCACCCTGCCAAGCTCCTCTACAACTATAACCATGCTACCCACGGTTTTTCAGCCCAACTCACAACCACCCAGGTGGAAATGCTCCGCCGTGTTCCGGGTATTCTTTCTGTCATTCCCGATCAAATTCGCCAGATTCACACCACGCACACCCCTGCTTTCTTGGGCTTGTCAGAAAGTTTTGGTCTTTGGGAAAATTCTGGTTATGGTGATGGTGTGATCATTGGAGTTCTTGACACTGGAATATGGCCTGAGCACCGGAGTTTATCGGATTCCGGTCTGTCTGATGTTCCTGCCAACTGGAAAGGGATCTGTGAGACAGGACCTGACTTTCCAGCTTCTTCTTGCAACAAGAAACTTATTGGTGCTAGAGCTTTTAACAAGGGCTATATAAGTCATAGAGGGAGACATATTGATGACTCAAAAGAATCTGCATCTCCAAGAGATACTGAAGGTCATGGCACCCACACATCAACAACTGCAGCTGGATCTTCGGTCCATAACGCGAGCCTTTTCGAGTACGCGAGTGGAGAAGCTCGTGGTATGGCCTCAAAAGCAAGAATTGCTGCTTACAAGATTTGTTGGAGTTCAGGTTGTTATGACTCTGATATTCTCGCTGCAATGGATCAGGCTATCTATGATGGAGTCCATGTGATTTCTTTATCTGTTGGTGCTACTGGTCATGCTCCTCAATATGATCATGATTCGATTGCCATCGGGGCATTTAGTGCATCACAACATGGAATTGTTGTGTCTTGCTCTGCTGGGAACTCAGGACCAGATCCATATACTGCTGTTAATATTGCTCCATGGATTCTTACTGTCGGTGCTTCAACAATTGATAGAGAGTTTCCAGCCGATGTAGTCTTGGGCAATGGATGGGTTTTCAGTGGGGTTTCGCTGTACTCTGGCGATCCACTTGTTGGTTTCAAGCTTCCTTTGGTGTATGCTGGTGATGTTGGGAATAGGTATTGCTACATGGGGAGTATAAGTCCATCAAAAGTTCAAGGGAAGATTGTGGTATGCGATCGCGGAGGGAATGCAAGAGTGGAGAAAGGAGCTGCAGTGAAACTTGCTGGTGGGCTTGGAATGATATTGGCAAACACAGCAGATAGTGGCGAGGAGCTAATTGCCGATTCTCACCTTCTGCCTGCTACTGAGGTCGGTGAAATTGCTGCCAATAAGATTAGAGAATATGTCAAATTGAGTCAGTATCCAACTGCAACAATTAATTTCCGTGGAACGATAATTGGGACTTCACCTGCAGCTCCCAAGGTTGCAGCCTTTTCGAGTCGTGGTCCGAATTATTTGACACCAGAGATTCTGAAGCCAGATGTCATTGCTCCTGGTGTTAATATCTTGGCTGGTTGGACTGGATTCGTTGGACCAACAGATTTGGAAATTGATCCTAGAAGGGTTGAGTTCAACATAATATCAGGTACCTCGATGTCTTGTCCTCATGTTAGTGGAATTGTTGCTCTGCTTCGAAAAGCATACCCGGATTGGTCCCCAGCTGCTATAAAATCTGCTTTGGTGACCACCGCTCATAATTTAGACAATTCTGGCAAGAATATCAAGGATCTTGCTAGTAGTGAAGAATCAACACCCTTCATTCATGGAGCTGGTCATGTTGATCCCAATAGTGCTCTTGATCCTGGACTGGTGTATGATATGGACACAAGCGACTATATTGCCTTCCTTTGTGCAATCGGGTATGATTCTAAGCGAATTGCGGTTTTTGTCAGAGAGCCTCCTAGTTCGGACATATGCAGTGGTAAAGTGGGCAGTCCAGGCAATCTCAACTACCCATCATTCTCTGTTGTTTTCCAGTCCAATAGTGATGTGGTTACATATAGGAGGACGGTGAAAAGTGTTGGGAATTCTCCTGATGCAGTTTACGAGGTTGAAGTGAATGCTCCTGCAAATGTTGACATCAAGGTATCGCCAAGTAGGCTCGTGTTTAATGCAGAGAATAAGACCGTGTCTTATGAGATTACCTTCTCCAGTGTTAGCTCGGGTTGGTCTAGCATTAACTCAGCAACATTTGGATCGATCGAGTGGAGCAATGGGATTCATAGAGTAAGAAGTCCAATTGCTGTCAAGTGGCGTCAAGGATCATCCAGGGAATCCATTTAAGCATTGGATATTGGAGAAGTATCTGGAATACTTGGGGCACTGGCAGCCTCTTGTGTACAAATTATGTGGTGATGATGATTTAGCTTTTCATTTCAACGAGATTTCAAATTGGAGATTGTGGAATGGTTGATCTAGGAATTTTTTTTTCCTTGTTTATAATGTACCGATGCTTTCCATGGTGAATTGGATGAAATAATGCTTTAATTGCTTCTACTATTGTAATCAATAGATTTGCTCCAGTTCTTTTTGATGTTTCTTCTTCTTCTTCTTCATCCGCTATATAAGTTGTACGTCCATAGATTCATAAGAAACCAGCATAAGCTACGTAAATTTAGGGGAGAAATGAAGCTTTAATGGGTCACAACAGAAAAGACGGCGAGCAAGTGAACTGCTAACCATGCAAGTGAGCATCTCAATCTTCATGGTCTTCTCAAGATTCAAGTGATACCATAGTGTGGGAAAATGCACACATCGAATTCAAGTGCACCTCAAGAGTTTGTCTACACCTCATGGAAAAATTACATGCTCCCAATAAGTAGGTGATGATGAGAGGAAGAAACTGCACAAGAAAAGCAAGTTGTCGAGCTATTTATTTTATTTTATTTTTTAAGAAAATTGTTGAATGAACAGCCAGGTATTGAAACAGGATTATCAATGCAACTGGACATGGAGCTTTAGGAAGACCTAGACGGAAGAACATGAAGAATAAGAAATAATATCATGCTGTGTAACGACGCTTTGGCCGAGTGGTTAAGGCGTGTGCCTGCTAAGTACATGGGGTTTCCCCGCGAGAGTTCGAATCTCTCAGGCGTCGTATAACAATTTTTGCCCTTTTTTCCTACGTAATTTGAGCAGAGCTAAGTTCTCTTCCTCTCTATTTGCTCCTCCCTAGGAAAATCCACGAGCGAGGCAAGAACCAAACCAGTTGAGCAGAGCTAGAAGGTACACATTTTCTCATTAGGTCAACATTCATCGACCACTCCATTGACTTCAATGCTTCTCAAGGTTAATCATCACTTTGAATCCATTTAATTTGATTTGATTGTTTTTAAAATATTTTTCACTTAAAAATATATTAAAATAATATTTTTTTATTTTTTAAAAATTGTTTTTAACATTAAAATCTCAAAAAATAATAAAATATTAATTTAAAACAAATATACGTAAAAACATGCCCTGATAGTGAGAACAAACAACCCACAGCTCAAAAGTCGATTTAGTGCTACTTGCATAGCCAGACCTAAAGGCATGCGCAACAGTACCTTTCAACCTGAAATAGAAGCTAACAGCTCCAATGAACTCCTAATAAGAAACCAATCCGCAGCTAAGCAATTTGAAAGTGAGTTTCAGCATTTCGAGAAATCAAATCTCCACTCTGTGATTGCACAATCACAAACCATAATCATTTGACATAAATTGGATCACACAAACAGTAGAGCGCCCTGTGCAACATCGCACCCCATAAACAGGGGCCAATGACTTGAAAAAAATCTTTAGCATACAAATACAATAATGATCCAATATGCTGCTTTTAATGATCTTATATAATGTCAAATCAGTAGAAACACATTTTCGTCCACAGGTTCTTTTATTTCCAGGTGCTGGTCTACAGGAAGTCCATCCTGCCGTTCTTCTTGCTCCATCGACTTTAGTGGCCATACTTCTGAAACTCCCACTCACTATTATCTGCACAAGTGAGAGACAAATAAATGCTCAGGTGTTTGAGGAAATAATAAATAAATCAAAGAAATTGTATGCATTCTCTACCACGTACCAAGAGGGCACACTTGGCGGGTTTTGAGCCATCGGCTGATACAGTGGAAGTGGAAGGCATGGTTGCACACACCTGTGATAACAAACCAAGTCTCTTAGCACATGTAAGCAGATTGATAAAACAAATAAAACACAAACCTACAGGATAAACCAAAGCAACACATCAGAATTGATCATATAAGCAACACAGTTGAAGCTTCACATCAACCCACATAATCATTAATAAAACAATACAGTTAGAAGTTTGATATGATTAACTATCAAAACAAAGAGGCCTAGATCAGGTCCCATGCTTATTTCCAGTAATAAAGCTAGATGTTCAAGTGAAAAAGAAATTATCTAGGGAATCATGGTTTACATACTAAAAAATAAACATTCATAACCAATAGACAGAAGAATAAGAGAAGGGCAGCTACAAAACCAGCATCTTGACCCACCATTTCTAACTTGTACCATTGAGAGCTAAAATTAAACAAAATCATGATCTCTCATGACCCTCACTATTATTATGGATTACCAAACAATGCCATGATCAGTGTGTAAGTCCCCAATCATTTAAAAAGAAAAAGGAAAAAGAAGAAGAAATACAAGACTAAGATTTTTCTCCTAAATTGCCATCTTGAAAACTGAAAATGGTGACTTCAACCAGGTTGATCAATAGCAACAGCACAACACTGACAAGGCACACAAGCCTTGCAAAGGAAGCACTTATAAATGTACTAGAAAAGCAAAAACTAAATTCTGACACATCGGCATAATTAGCTTATCATGCACTCATAATTCATTAGAAAAGATAAAGTTTGATAGTTTGCTTATTAATAGACCAACAGGGTTGCAACCTGTGGTGCTCCAACTAATATGACATGTCCAAGATCAGACTATCAATCCACACATGCTATATCCAGGAAGAACGTTGAAAAAAATGAAAAGCCGAAGCCAATTGCAGCAATCAGGATAATTAGAATAAGCGAATGTTCTGAGTCAATGGCGTCATGTTCAGGTGAAATCATCTTATAACGGAACTTTAATTATTAAGGGAATGAATTCCCTGTCCTCACAAAAAAGCCAACTTCTTGAAACAGATGTAATGCCAGTTATCGACACCTAACTGCGGACTTCCTCGGCTTTGGGACTTTCAGCTAACCACCTAACATACAACCATTGCAAGCTCATCGTGGGCATTAGTTTCTGCACACAGACTTATTCACCCTTCTATTTCTGTATTTCTCATCAAAGAAAATACATAGAGCTACAGAGAAAAAAATTAAAACCATACTGAGCAAGGGGAACACAACCACACTAATCAAACAAACACTGCTACCAACGATTACAAGATCCTATCACATTAAGTCCTTGTCTAATTCAAATAACAGAGGTGACAAAAGGGTACCAGTATATGCAGTCAAGCTCAAAACAAAGTGCCCATCAAAGAGAAAACCCTTACCCATCACATTAACAAAAACCGTACCCATCACATTAAGTCCTTGTCTAATTCAAATAACAGAGGTGACACAAGGGTAGCAGTACATGCAGTCAAGCTCAAAACAAAGTGCCCATCACAGAGAAAACCCTAAATTCAAGAAAGAAGAAGAAAAAATACCCCAGGCAACAGTGCACTCCTCGCTTGTAGCACTAGCTTGATTTGCTTGGCACTCAATGCCTACACAAAAACATACGATATAATCAATAAATAAACAAGAAAAAGAAAAGTCTTGGAATCTTGAAAGAAAGAAAGCCATGACTTACAAAGATCCATGATATGGTTTCTACAAATAGCGCAATTATCCACCACAATATCTGCAAACCCATCAAATAATTAACACAAAAGAAAAGAAAAATCAAAATTTAAGGGTTAGAAAAAGAGAGGAAATACAAGGAAGAGGAGACAGACCCCAAGCCCAAAGAGCAACAGCATTCCACTTCTTAATTTCGAATCGCTTCGGTTTCCTTGAGGAAGAGGAGCTTGCCTCGCCTGCCGGAACCATCGTCACGTCCGTGTCCATCTGGGTTGGGGCCCCGGACTAAGGAGATCGAGTTGAAGAGGGTTTTTTTTTTAAAAAAAAAAAACAGAAGGTATAGAGAGAGAAATAGCGGAATGGCGAAAAGTGGAGCGTAAGGAGGTGAATTTATTTGCTCTTTCTAAGAAGCCGATTGGGATTTTTTATATTTTAATTTCTTTCTTGAAACTTGTTTTTCATATAATATTTTTCTTACACGTTACTACATTTTATCCAAATATTTGGATGGTTTATGTTATTTGAAAAATCCAGAATCTATCTCAAAAGAATTATAATGCTTTTTAAGGTGAAATAAACTAATTATCTATTATTAAATTAAAAAATGACTCAATTATTAATGAAATGTTAAACCTTGTTTTATTATATGATTTAAACTAATAGTATTAATTTGTTATAGTAGAATTGTCTGACACAAAATAGTCATATTTTAATGAGGTATTGATTTTAAATTTATTATTTTGAAATTACAGAAAAAAAATAATAATGAGTTGTTTTTTGATCGGTTTTATTAAAAAAAAAAGGCTTTTTGGGAACTGTTATTGAATTTGATGGGTTGAGTATAATCTACAATATATTTATGATTTTACCTTTTTAAAATCAAAGAGTTGAGCACAACAGCTATTTCTAGGTGTTTTTGAGTTTTTATATTTTTTATATAATATAATTTTTGAATATCTTTTAAGGTTTTTTTTTTTGTCTAAGTTCAAAGGGTATCTTTTATTTTTTTATTAATTTTTTACAATTATTGAATAGATTAAAAGTATTTTTTTATTTAATTTTATTTTTCAATTTTATTCTTAATCATTTGATTTCAATTCTTTTTTATTAAATTTAATTTTTATTTTATGATTATAATTTTTTTATTTTGAGTTGTCTTTTTCATTAAGTATTTTTAAACAACTTCATCCCTCATTGAATTTTATGGCCAGGGCTGGAAAATATATTGATATCACAATAATTATTCAAATATACATTTAAAAGTTGTTCTAGAGATAATTTCACCCATATTTTTCACTTCACTGAATTAAGTACTTAAAGTCTAGTGTAATTTTTAAAAAGAATTTTATTTAATTTCACTTTTAATTAATCCTAAATTTTTATTTTTCTTTTAATTTTAATTCTGATTTCAATCAATTAATTTTATAAAAATTAAGTTTGGTCCTTTAAAAATCTAATTTTCTAAATAAGACTCTCAAACTTAATTTTCCAACAATTAAATCTCTAATAAAATTAATTTGACTCATTTAAAATATAATTAAATCATTACACTTAATTAAATCATTTGATTTGACCCAACTTAATTCATAAATATAATTAAACTTTTAATTTGGTCTATAATTCAGTCAAATTGACCTATTAATAATCTAATTATGTCCTTAAGCTTAATTTTTATGTGGATTCATCTAATAATAATTTAATTTGATCTTAAATCTGTATTATCTTTCCAGTCTTAGGTATAATAAGATACACATCTAAAATTACACCTTGATTTTTTTATACATTTGAAATCCTCGTTGGTATGCTTTTGCTAAATTGTTTATCTTCTTGCTATCATTATTTATTTTTTATTTTAAAAAATAATTACACATCTAAAATTACACCTTGATTTTTGTATACATTTGAAATCCTTATTGGTATGCTTTTGCTAAATTGTCTATCTTCTTGCTATCATTATTTTTTTTATTTTAAAAAATAGTAAATTATAGGGAATAACCCACAAATGACTTATAACAATTGAATTTATTGGAAATTAAGCTTTATAATTTGTTTTGATTTGATTCAAATTAAGTTTTATAATTTGTTTTGATTTGATTTATTTAGGATTATTATTGTCTCATGACTCGGTATATAAATTGATAGATTTACCCGAGTTGACCCAAATCAATTCATTTTATTGTCATTTCAATATTTATTAAAAAGAAACTTCATTTTAAATATTTATTTTGAGTCAAATTATATTTTTATCAGTCATTCATGTTAACTTTAGACCTGCCAAGACAACCAAGTTACATCGTATTAGCCTATATACTGTTTAATTTTTTTCTACTAAAACAGCATTAACACAATGCCTAAATTTTTTTTTATATTAAAAAAAAATTATTTCATTTTCAGCGTAGCGCGAGTTGATAATCTAATAACTTTTAAAATAAAAAGATACATTAAGGAAAGTCAGGTTAAATATTTGCATAATCATATATATCTTGCTCTTAAAAAAATATTTGATGTTCATTTTAGTATTTTACTTGTATTAACATCTTTTTTTAATTTATCTGCTAATATATTTTGTGAGTTATTTCATTAAGCATACAGTGGGTTGCAAGGCAAGTTGAATACCTAGACTTAATCCATTCAAGTGCACTTTAGTGGTATGTGTTTTGTCTACACTTATGGGAAAATTACGGATATCAAATCCTAATAATACCTATGGCGATGAGAGAAAGAAAATAAGAAATTGCATAAGGAACTAATCATGCTCTTTCCTTTTGTTTTGGAAAACTGCCACATCAGCAGCTGAGTATTTAAAGAGACTATTGAATCTTAGTGGTTGAGCTGGAGAAAGATATAATAAATAATACCATAGATAAATTGCACGCAACGACGCTTTGGCCGAGTGGTTAAGGCGTGTGCCTGCTAAGTACATGGGGTTTCCCCGCGAGAGTTCGAATCTCTCAGGCGTCGTTTAATTTTAGTCTCCCAGCATTTTTAAGATAAATTGGCCGATTAGCACAAGAGAATTGACATATGTACAACAAGATTCGGTAAGATAGCACAATTTAATTATATTAAGCTTTACAAATATATTAAATATTATTATTTGTAAGTGTTAGCGATTTAAACTATGTTATTTTTTACTCAATTGATTAAGAAATTTTAAAAATAATACAAAAAATCTTAAAATTATCAAAATAAGGTGCGCACACAAAATTTTTAATATTTAAAAATTCAATGGTTACGTAGTAGCTATTGTGAAAAAAATAACATTAAAAACTCTTGTAAATATTTGAATATAATTTAATGGTCGGATCAAAAGTTATGATTCTTTTGAATTATTATTCTGGTCTAGCATGACCAGACCTCCTCTTGAGTCTAGACCTATCCTATTAGTTTATAAATGCATTTGTTAGACTATTCAAGTAATTTATTTGGAGCAAGTCCTTATTTAGTTATAATAGACTTACATTTAACTATTTAGAATCACCCATTACTGTATGAACAATTAAAAAGTTAACCCGGATAACAAGTCAAATCTTCAACTCAAGTCATAAGACCTTGATAATCTTGTAGAAAGAAAATTAAAAAAACAAATTTATTAAGCTCAATATTAAAGGATGACATTGAAAATAAAATTCAATTATAAAAATAAGTCAATTTAACCCGGGTTAACCTATTAGACCTTACTTATGACATCGAGATAATAACATAGAAATAAAATTGAAACAGTTTATAAAAGTCAATTCTCAATCAACCTAGTGTTAAAGAATAACATTAAGAAAATCAATTAAAAAAAAAACATGAAAAAAACCACTTGAGTTAACCTGAGATAACCGACCAAATCCATGTCCTGAGTTATGAAGCCAAAATAACTTCATAGAAAGCAAACCAAAATAAATTATGAAGTCTAATTCACCATCAACTCAATATTAAATGATGGAATTGAGAAAAAAATTCAAAAAAATAACAAAAACTCGAGGCAACCAAGCTAACATTTGACACGGGTCATGAATCGTGATAATTTTATAGAAAACAAATAAAAAATAAATATGAAGCACAATTCTCAATCAACTTAATATTGAAGAATTAAAATGAAAAAAAAAAGTTGATTAAAAAATATATCTTAAGTCAACCCAAGCTAACTTGCTATAAGTATGAAGCCAAATTCTTAATTAAATCAATATTGAAGGATGATGTTAAGAAAAAAAATTGATTTAAAAAAGAAAAAAATGACCCAAGTTAACCCGGGTTAAATTGCTAAACTAGAGTTATAAAATTGAGACGACTCCATAAAAAATAAATCGAAACAAATTATACAGATTAATATTCAATAAATCTAATATTGAATGATGAAATTATTAAAAAAAACTAGGGGAACTGAATTGTAAGAGGCAAAGACACTTCACTATTCACTACTATAATGAAATGTCAAAGCCTTTTACTATATGTAATTATGTAAAACAAGGTGTCTTATCAAAGATTTAATATTTTTCTATTTAATAGTATGAGATATTTTTATGCTCAATTGAGACTAAAGTTTTTCTTTTCAAACAATTTAAAGAATGAACTCCCATGTTATACTTGAGAGTAATTTTATGGTGGTTTGAGACTAACTAGTGGCTTCCTGTTAGTTACTCATCATGATCAACTTTTAAAAAAAATAGAAAGATATAACTAGGATAAAAAAAATTTAGATAGGGATATTTTTATCATTTTTAATGAATCATAAATTTTATACTTTTCTTTAAAATAGACCAGATAACACTAATTACTTCCCGAGCACTCAAAAAATCTAAATATTAATCTTGATGTTAAAAAGGACACACACTTTCTAAGGTGAAGTTACTTAACCTTTGATGAAGTACTACCAATCAACCTAACTCATCCATTCATAAAAATATTATCATATAGACCATCGAGAACCTTGCAATTACATGGAATATACGACGAAGGACATTAATCATCACCAAAGAGTTTGGCAAAAGACTTAGGACTCTTTTGGTCGTTAATTGCAAGACCAATATACAAAAAGTGAATTAAATTTCGTATGTGTCTTGACCAAAGTTAAAACAATAGCTTTAGCATTAACATGAACACCATGCCTTTCGTAGTTGCATTTAACATTTATATTTGATATGCTAATAAGAATTTGTATAAACAGTATTGTTTCTCTCTCAAAACAAAATTTGAGATCTTATTTGTCATAACTCATTTTTGGGTTACTGCCTAAATTTAATTTTTTCTTCTAGAAAATAAAAAATATATATATTTAGACTAAAAAAATAAAAAATTCAAAAAAAATAATAGTAGTTAGAAGAAGATGCCAAAATGACCAAAAATTGGTTGAAGAAGTTTAAAAATATAAAAATTAAAATTTGATA